TGATGTGCAATTTGTGCCTAATTTAGATCATAATATGTTGAGCATTGGTCAATTGATGAGTAGTGTATAAGATTGTGTTTTGATGATGGTATTTTGTGCCGTGTTTGATAAGAAGTGAGGCCATATTATTGATAAGAAGTAAGGCGTAGTATAGCAAATGTTCATATGACTCAATATCAAATGTTATCGCTTGATGTTTTAAATGAGGTAATGTTATTAGTAATGCATTATTGATTGCTAAATTTAACAAATTAATATGAGTTATGGCATTTGTGTTATGGAAATTTGAATGGTCGTAGTTTGAAATTTTGGAGTCATAAAGAAATGATATTAGGCTTACAAAAAAAGGTGAGATCATTTTTTGTGAAGGTTGTGTTTATAGGAAGCTTAGTAGTAGAGCCTTTTTTCTTACTATAAAGGCATGGAGAGCATCCAAATGTCTTGAACTTACGCATGCTGATCTGTGTGGGCCTATGAAACCGAGTCACTAGGTGGAATGAAGTTGATATTTTTTTTGTTGTTCACTATTTATTATTCATGCATGAGTTAGGTATATTTCTTAAAATTCAAATCTGAGGCATTTAGGAATTTTGAGAAATTCAAGGCATATTATTGGTGGAAAACCAAAGTGGCTGACATAGAATTGTTCTTTAAACTAATAGAGGGGGTAAGTTTGTGTTTGATCGGTTTAATGCCTTATGTGATGAGCATAGAATTCAAAGAGATGTTATAACACCAAAAATGGGGTTGCAGATCGAGCGAAAGAATCAAACGGTGGTAGAAATGGTTAAGAGTATGTTGAAAGTAAAAGGGCTTCCAAAAAAATTTTGGGGAGAATTTATATCTACAACAGTGTATCTCCTAAGTATATCACCAACAAGGGCGTTTTCAATCGAACACCATTTGAAGCATGGAAAGGTGAGAAACCTAGGGTAAGCCACTTGAGAATTATTGGTTATGTAAGCTATGCTTTAGTTAATAACCGTTCAAAACTTGATGATCAATTTGATAAATGCATCTATCTTATTGGTTATTGTTCTCAATCCAAAGCATATCGCTTATATAACATTGTAAGTGGCATAGTGATCATAATAAAATAAATGTGGTGTTTAATGAGGAAGCTCGTTTCAAGTGAAATGTCAACAAGGATGGCATAGCTCAGTATGTTCCGGTAGATGGTGAAGATGATGAACCATTAGAATCAGAGTCAGCTGCAAATTCAACCACCTCCTCACCTGCAAGCACTCCATTGTCAACTCCAAGTAGCAACACCAAAAAGTCACCTAGCTCTCTGGTAGCAGTGACAGCCGTGACACCCTAGTAAGATGAAGTAGATCCGTAGGAGAGCTTTATAGTTCTTGTAGTTAAAATATGTTGGTCACTAACAATACTTTACTTGAGGAAGCTGAAGAACAACTTGAATGGTAGATTGTTATGAGAGAAGAAATGGCAGCTATTGAGCAGAACAACATATGGGAGCTCGTTGGTTGATGCTTCAGAAGACAAAAATGCGATAAGGTTGAAGTGGGTGTTCCGAATAAAATATAATGATGATGGAAATATTCAAAACCACAAGGCTAGGCTTGTGGAAAAAGGATAATCCCAATAGCAAGGGATTTAACTTTGATGAGACATTTTCTCCCATTGCTCGATTAGAGACTGTGAGAATAATGCTAGCATTGGCTACTCAACTTAAGTTACTAGTGTATCAACTTGATGTGAAGTCTACGTTTTTGAATAGTTATTTAGAAGAAGTGGTGTATGCGGCCCAAGCAGAAGGCTTTGTCATAAATGGTTCTGAAGACAAAGTATACATATTGAGGAAAACTCCTTACAAGTTGCAGTAGGCACCACGAGCATGGTACAATAATAGAATTGATTTATACTTTTGGAACAATGGATTCACAAGAAAAGAAAATGAGCCCACTTTATTCTTCAAACGTGAAGGTAATGGTAATTTTTTACAAGTTTGCCTTTACATAGATGATATAATTCTATGGGTTCATTCGAGTCTTTAGTTGTTAAGTTTATTATGATGAAGATTTTTGAGATGATTGATTTGGGGTTGTTGCAATATTTTTGGGTCTTGAAGTAAAGCAAGACTTGGATGGAATTTTTGTGTGATTGTAGGGAATTTTTCAAACTCAACTTTGAGCCCCACTGTAATCATGTTTTAAGCATGGTGACGTTCAAAGGGAAGGAAGCTAGAAATAAAAGAGTAGTCAACAAGTTTTAAGAGCTTGTAAGTCATTCACAGGTGTGAAGGTTGCACCTCACTCACGATCATGGAGATCGATAACTCCATAGTGTTCTAAAACCATGTCGGGATATGCGAGGATGATATTATGAATCTAACCTAAAAGAGATTAAACTCGCTCTCTATTGGTCTCTATTTTATTCTTATGATATGATATTCATGTGCACTTTTCTACCAACATACATGCAATAAATTGATACTAAGCATATTTAATCTACTTTGATTGATTATTAATGCAAAAATAAATCTATTATTGGTGATCACTTGAATTAAAATCATATTAGCCTAAATCCAAATTATTAAATTATCTTATTAGGCATGATTTCAAGTACAAATTCCCTTTAAACCTGCAGATAGAGCATGATCAAGCAATAATAATAAATAATAAATAATCAAGCAACATATTGACACAACAATTATCATCATAATAATATCATCAAAACATGATTAGTAAGATCCCGGGCATGATACTAACGGATTAATAACAAACCTTAGCATGTCACTAATAATAAAGATCAAAGCTTTATCCTTAACATGATACTAGAAATCATAAAAACATTCTAACATGATACTAGAAATCATAAAGAAATCCTAACATGATATTAGGAATTAATATATATTTTAACCATGATTTATACATCAAAAGGATAATTAAGTAATCAAATTACTCATTTTAATACCTCGTATCTTTTTCTTCACGTCGAGGTTGAAGGCAACTTCGAGCTTAGCTAGGAGTATTCAAGGCTCGTGAAGGAGGTATGGTGTTTGATTGGTAAAAGTATCAAAGGATGTGTATTACGACGTGTTGGGATGTGTTTAGGTTAAATCTAGGCTAAGAAATATGAAAAAGAGAGAGATCAAATAAGCTTTAGCTTAGAAAGAGGATTAGATGATGATTGTTGGTGATCAAGCTTTATGATGATTGAAAATGGGATCAAACGAAATCTATTTATAATAAAAAAAAGAGGGTTGAAGGTTTAGAAAAGAGTCAGAATCTAAATCGGAGTAAAACAGGTTTTGTCGCGGCGCAACAGGTCCATCGCAACACGATAGATATCAATTTTCGCAGTTTTTGTTTTTATCATAACATTTGATCCTGACATTGTAATAAGTTAACTAATATATTGTTAGAAATCTCTTGAAGTCTACTTTCCAACACAATTAAAATAAGATTGATATCTTTTATAGAATAAAAGATATGATCGAAATAATAGGATAGTGTCATACTTTGGTATTTCGTTCATATCTTTTTTGTTATAGCTAGGAATTAGGATTATGATATATCATTGGAAAGATAATTTCAAGGGATATACAACCATACAAAATTTAGATAAAAATCACGAGGCACGAAAATCATATCTGAGCAGCTTTAAATTCGAATTGAATAAGGATTATCAAATTGAGGAGTTTTATTCAGTTTCAAACTCTTTGATCTTTATCTTTTGGAAAGGATAGATTAGAACCTTCTGGAGAATTTTTCAAAGTTCCTAATGAATCCTAATTGGTTTCAGATTGGTATTATGGTATTTGGAACCTCACATGATCATTGGGTCGTAATTAAGGTGGATCTAGGCTCGGTTTGGGCTTAGTTTAGTATTTTGGCCATAATTTCTTTTGTATAAGTCAAATTTTGGATTATAAAGAAAGATTTTTTTTAAAGCCCCATCCAACTAAACAACAATTGGACCAATATTGGGGACCAAAATAATCTAGTTCAGACGTTTTTATGGTTTGGACACGAAATGAATGATTTTAAGGACACGAAATGAATGATTTTGGGTTTAAAGGCACAAAATAAATGATTTTGGTTTAAATATTTTAAGAATGGTTTGAAATGGTCAGGGCTTAAGGAAATTTATGAGACACTTCAACTCTTCACTGAACTTTATAATCAAAGACGTAAAAGATACTCATCACTGAGTTTGGTTTTTGGGGAGATACGATTAGGTGTCTATAGTGCTAAAAGAATTATTGTACGTATTTATTAAAGAGTTTCAATATGTCAAACTGTGAGATTGCAGTCACACCAATGAATTTCAAAGAAAAGCTACAATGTGAAGATGGAACAAAAGTAGCACATGCAAGGCCGCGGTATTTAGAAGTCTAGTGGGTGGTTTAAGTTACTTAGCTTGATGCACTCTAAACCCAATATTGTTTTTCCAGTTTGCTTGTGTAGACACCCAAATGTGTCTCCCCAAAAACCAAACCCAATGATGAATACTTTTCACGTCGCTTGATTATTGAATGAAGTGAAAGTGTGAAAGTCTTGTGATGCATTCATTTTAATAAAAATCTCTCTTTTTGGTTTTGAAAATCTTCTCTATTTTATGAAAATAGCCGGTCCAACTTAGTTTGGTCTATGACAAGGGTTCAATAATAGTGTAGTTGGGTCGGGCTCGAAAAGAGTTTTTCAATGATATATTATAAGCCTAATTTCGATGAATAATGAGGAAGTTGTGGTCCAAATACTAGGGGTGTTCAAAAATACCCGACCAGATTGACCCAACCCGATTGACCCGCTGACCCGAGTGATTTTACCGGGTATTTTTTTTTGAAATTATCCGGGTCGGGTACCCGACCCGGTAAAATGATCATGTCTTCGGGTCGGGTCATGGGCCGACCTGTGAGGGTGGCGGGTACCCGCTGACCCGTGAGTTAGTGGTTTTTTTTTTTTTTCTTTTTTTTTTTTTTAATTTACAGTATGCTGAATGCGTCATATACGAGTAGTTTATTCAGGGTAGGGTTTTAATTCTCATCCAACCTCTACATTCTCTCTCCTTTTTCTTTTTTTTTTTTTTTGCTCTTTCTTTCTCCATTGTTCTTCTGATTTATATTCACCCCTCTACTCTCTTCTCACAGTAAGCCTTATAATTTTCTCTACATCTAACCCCAATGCATGCAAGTGAGCACAACAATCGACAGTCACCGAAACATCTCACCTCACTATTCATCAAGGGTTGGAATCGGAGTGTGTTTGAGTTGGTTGATGAAGCAGGCTGACTTTTTGGTGGCGATAGATGGAGGCAGCTGCGATTGGTGGTGTATTGTTCAGTTTCTCATAATTGATTTTTGGTATTATACTTCAATTTGTATATTTAATAATTTTTCACAGAATCACCCATTAATTAAGGGTGTGTTTGTGACCTTGATGTGAAATTTGCATTATCAAGATCTTATAATATCTAATATGTATAGATCATATATGTATATTCATATAATCATATAATATCCTCTGCCCTGCTTCTGCGATGTTATGGGCCTGCTCTCCCCTGCGTCTTGATACTAACTTATGCATGAGTATGACAATTTGGGAGTGGGTTAGCTACTTAGAAAGCAGGTTTCATAATAAAGAGTGGTGGGATCTTTTTTGGTGTCTGCTTTGGGGGGCTTGGCTGAAGCGAAATGCTACTACTTTCGAGCGTCGTGACATTTCCTATTGCTGAGATTGTCAATAAAGCTGTGGGAATTGTTGGTGAATATGAGAAAGCTAACATGTTGTTGCCTTCCGAAATTAACAGGAACACACCAATTATTCATGTGTGGTCTCCTCCTTCTGCTCGGGTGTACAAAATCAACTCGGACGCTGCTTGTTTCAATGACAAATCCACAAGTCTTGGGGGAGTTATGAGAGATCAAACAGGTGACATCATGGCTGCAACTTGCTGGTTGGTTCAGGGATGCTTTGACATTGATATTGCTGAAGCTTTGGCCGCTACACATGCGCTTCTCATTGCTATGGAGGCTGGGCTAAAACGTGTTATTTTGGAAGTAGATAATCTCAAGCTGTTCAAACATCTTTCAAAAGGTTCTTATGATTCTTCATGCTTTGGTCTGGTGGTTAAAGACATTGTTTATTTAGCTTGTTTATGCCTGTCTTGTAGTTTCTCTCATGTGGGTAGGAATGGAAATAGAGTGGCCCATATTTTGGCTAATTGTGGTAGAGCGTTTGATGAGATGAGGCTAATTGTGAATTTTTTTTTTTCCTTTCTTCGTTTTGAATCATTATTCGTTCAATTCCCTGTCAAATCAACAAGGAAGATTGTGATACCAATTCCCTTAAACTAGTCCGTTCTTTGTCAAATCAATTGGGAAGATTTTGATACCGATTCCCGTAAATCTAGTCCGGGGAATTACCAGGTTTCTTAGAACTAATTTGGCGACCTCGAATCACTGTAAGCTTGTTCATGGTTTTGATTTTAAAATTGTGGGTATATTTTTTTTCTTGATTTGAATTGGAAGAATTATCCCATTTGCAAATAATTTATCGACTGATGTAGGTTCTTGATCAGAGCTTTTTCGAGTTACACAAAAGTCGAAATCGTAATTGAGAAGATATGATTTTAAGGTTTCAATTGGAACAATTTCTGAGTTTTTAAGGTCATGAGAGAATGAAATTCTGGGACTCATTCCTCTACTTGAAGGACTTTCTGTATATAATTCAACCGCCATTTTTAATTTTTTTTGGGTGATGAAGAAAAACAGGGGATGATGTAAAGAATGAGGTTTTTATGGCTAAAGTTTCATGTGACGCCGTTAATTTTACAGTTACTAATGGCCAATTTCCCACTGTTACGAAAATCCGTACGATACAATATAATACTCCTAAAAAGGACGGTGTATGGCCCACATCAGCTACTGATTGACGAAATTTTGTCAATCAGGCTGATTGCCTGAGTCCGCCTCGAGTAATAATTTGGTCCTATTTCCCGTCAAAAAAAAATGTATAGATTATATGCGGTACACGGTTAAAGAAGAAAGATTAGTTCCTTTGATTTGTTTTTGATCTACCAAATAATATGATTATATGAATACTATAAAATAACTCATTACATTCGTATTGTTTTATATAAATTGGAGCTATTGAATTGCTTCCAAATTAATTTTAAAGCCTTTTGTACTAAAAAAAAAAAAAAATACCAGGTACCCTTTCACCTGACCCGGGAAACTCGGGTACCCGGGAGTTTCCCGGGTCGGGACATGGGCAGAGTTTTAAACTACCCGAAGATCCGGGTACCCGCTTTTTCGGGTACCTGAAAACCTGGGTACCCGGATTTGAACACCCCTACCAAATACTAAATTAGGCCTGAATTGGATTTATGGCTCAATGATCTAGTGGAGGGCTGTAGATACCCATTTGTGTCTCCCCAAAACCAAACCCAGTGATGAGTGTCTTTCACGTTGAATCATAATCGAATGAAGTGAAAGTGTGGAAAGTTTAGTGTTGCGAATAGTTTTACTTTTTTTTCTCTTCTCTCTGTTTTTGAAAACTTATTTTAAGAAAACAGTCAATCTAGTTTGGTTGGTTCATGATATGGGTCCAATAGTAGTGTAGTTGGAAGGGGCTTGAAAAGAGCTTTCCAACGATATATTATAAGCCCAATTCCGATGAATAATGAGGAAGTTATGGCCAAAATACTAAGCTGGGCCCGGTTTGAGCCTTATATGCGGCCCAATGATCTAGAGGAGGGCCTAATATGGATTTATCATTCTAATGCAATTAGGAATGGTTTTAGTCTTCTAGATTCATCTAGAAAGTTCTTTTCATTCCTAATTCAATTAGCATTGATAAATTGACTTTGGTTGACTTTTTAGAGTTTTAATCAGAATCAAAGAACGTTTTAGAGTAAAATACGATTTTATCCTCCTGTACGACAATTTTTATGTGATTTTAATAAAACGTGTGAATTTCTGAGTCAACGCCAAACGCCAGCTGTAGCGCTTGACGCTACGCTTGGCACCTGGCGCTAGCCTTAGCGTCTAGCGCTAAGGTCAGCGTTTGGCGCTAACCTGGCTTTTCGCGTCAGAACTCTATTTTTGATGTGTTTTTTTCGGCTGATTTTCTCTATAAATAACGTGCTAAAAACTCTGTTCCAATGGACCAATTCTCATCAAGATTTTCTTGATTACTCTCTCTCTCTTTTCTAAACTAGCCTTCTCTCAAATATAAAAATTTCGCATTCATTAGATTCAGAAACACCTAGCCATATTCGAAGTTGCCTTCGCCCTAGATGTGAAAGGTTTTAATTTCTGAGGGTTTGGTCCCAAATCTCTCTTTCAATTATTTGATTTAATTGTTGTTTATTATTTTCCTTGAAGTTACTAACGTGTGTATTTTGTTATTAAAAAGAGGTACGAGGCATCAAAGTGATAGTGTTGGTACTTTCTACCTTAATGAGATCTTAGCCATGAATAATCGAGGATTTAGAAAGCAACAAAAAAAGGATTTTACCCCTATTGGAATTAGCTACGATGACGATTTCGATCGACTCCATGCCAAGGGACTCATTACTCCTATTGGACCTCTTCAAGATCCCCCGCTTGAGAAGAGGTTGCCTAGTTGGAATCCAAATGTGCGCTGCAAGTACCATCTAGGTAGGGGTCATGCCACTGAGAGCTGTTGGAAGCTAAAGAAGGCTATCCAGCATTTGATTGATAATAACAAGCTTCCCATGCCTCCAGTTAACAAGAAGAGCGAGTGATGATTAAGCAAACAACAAAGGCGAGCTTCAACGACAAGATTTTGTGACCTATTAATTTTTTTTATTATTATCCTTTCTCCAATAAGTCTAGCATAGGCACCTTTCTTTTCCCTTAGATTAATTTTGTAGATTCTTTCTTTTCCCCTTTTTAATAAAAATGAGCATTTATTCTCTTGCATATGATCATTTCATTAAAAAAAAAAAAAAAAAATCATGTCGAATTAAGCACAAGGTATTCCAATGATTTGAGGCACCTCTTGTAGCCACATCATATTACCTTTCACCCTTTAAATATGCAATCCTTTTTTTGATAAACCACTTTGAGCCTCGTCTAACGATAGACCTTTCAGATTTTTTTTTAAATCCATATCTATTTAATCTTGGGATGGGATAGTGTGCAACTTATACAATTTTCAATTTCATAAAAAGCTTGAGTGACTTCAAAAGATTAAAATAGCAAAAATAAGCAATAAATAAATAAATAAAAGTGTACAAAAGGGTAAGTTATTGAAACTTTCTAAATTGGAAAGTGAGATGAAAAATAACTGATTTTATTTCTTTTGAGAGCCACAAGGGCAAGGGTGAGATAGGATTTTGTGAAATTGGGAGGAAAACTCTAACCATTTAAGCAATTTTTTACTCTGAAAAATAGCTGAGTGATGACTTCTATAAATCTTGTATTTGTTGCAGATTGACCAATGTAACATATAGGTCTTGTTTGAGAAAAAAGCTTTTGAAGAAGATGAGTGAAATTTTTTTAAATCCATAACCTTTTCACCCCCGATTCTTGTACCACGTCTTAGCTAGAACTAACTCAATCAAAATATACTCTATAAATACGTTGATGGTACAGTAGAAAATCTAACATTGTTTTTAATTCTATTAATGAATTCATCATAAAGGCATCAAAACGGTCCAAAACAATTGCTAGACATGCTAGTATATCAAACGTTACCAATTAGTCTTTGCCCAAAGAACATGCTAGTCTTCTCTGAATCGTTACAATCCGAAGTTCCCAACACATGACTCCAAAAAGACTCACAAAAACTTTACTAGTCAAAGACTCATAATTGATAAATGTTCACTTTAGTAGGGTCTCATAAACTAAAAAGATCAAGGTATGTATTGTATTCATCTTAACTTTGGAGCATGCAAGAGAAGATAACTTTGTGATTATCGTCCCAATCTAATCTAATGCTTTGGGCCACAAAAAAAGAAAGAAAGAAAGAAAGAAAAGGGACATACGTAAGTTTTGTGGAATGAAAAATGAAAAAAAGGCCAAAAAAGATGGGTATCTTTCAAAGTGGGGCATTTCATTTTAACCCCACCAAACCAACTGCTCACATCTTTTTATCTCTTTTTTCCTATTTCCATTGCAATTAAAGTGGCTTCCATTGGAGTGTGACAAAGCATTTTCTCTCTCTTTTTTCTTTTTTATGATTTTTGTTTCACTTTCTTGGTTAAAAGTTAATTTTATTACATTGGAATTTATATTGGCAGGTAAGATTTGCTGTTTTTATTGCTCCAGAATAGGAGAAAATTCACACACAATTTGGCTTTACTTTGTGATATTCAATCAGGGTCTAACATGTACTTAATTTGTTGGAAGTTTAGTGTAATTATAAGGCTTCATCAATTAAAACTCCCATTTTGTAAATTTTTTTTTTTTTTTTTGAAAAAAAAAATATTATTTCAGGTTATATAAGTTCAAATAATTAAGAAGTTATGATTTGATAGTAATTTACAAGGGATAAGCTTAGAAAATATGAAGTAAAAGTTCATGAATATGTTTTAAGTATAATGTGTTACCAAATTCTAATAAGATATTTCAAGAAAAATAAGTTCACATATAAGTTCTGAATCCTTCTAATAAGGTATTCACATTCATTTTAAAAAATTGTACTTGTGGCGATCTATGCCGTGGTTTTAATTTGTTTAAATCACGATTATAATTGCAGATGCAATCGCGATGATGTAATGTAATATTTCGGTTGTGGCAAGTTCGAACTATTTTACAACATGGTCGCAATATATAGGTGATGTATGTGATCGTGGTTTAAAACCATTGCCATGATCTAGGTTCGAGAAACTTTGGAAGACATTGAGATTACTTCTTCAGTGAATTTTTGGAGTTTCTTGTTGCAATTTTGTAGTTTTTGATTGAATTGGTTCTCGTAGGGACTTAATATGGAAGATGGTGTGTTTCTTAATTAATCAAGTCGATTTTGGATTAGTGTACTAAATTAACTATTACCTCCATTACATTTATTTGCAATTTTAGATATTATTTCTGAGACGTAAAAAATTCAAAGTTGCAACTAATATGTAACAGAGTGGTAATAATTTGTATTGCTATGTACTTTTAGAAATACTTCGTATTTGCAATCATCTAAACTTAGGTACTGTAATAATTAATTATACTCTTTTGTTGCATATGATAAGATATGAATGCATTATTCTAAAAAAAAAATGTAGTATTATTTTTTAGAAAAGTATAGTGATTAGTGTCGTTGATAAATCTTATCTCATGTCTTTATTTAGTACATCTCTATGACTTTACTTATCATATATTCAGATCATATACTTGCTTGTTATCTAATTACTGATATAAATATACTAATAGAAGATAAAATGAAATGAAATGACTGACATTGCTACCCAATTATTCTACTAACAAATGCTGGTCATTAATTTCCATCTATATTTGTGAGCATTCAACAATTGGATGGTAGGTATGTAGCTTAATTGGTAACAACAAATGATTGCAAATTAATGTTGATTACCATCCATAAATATATGGTATAAACCTTAAAACCTAATAGTTTGTTAATATAGTGAAGCCTAAACCCGTGAAACATGTCCATTACCATCTTATATCATGGACAATAACCACATATGCATGAATATCTCCCACAATTTCAAATCTACTAAATTATTAATCGATATCCATGAAATATTTTTTTTTGGTGTTTAGAGAGCCACAAGGGTAGGGGTGATGAGAATCGATCCCAAGATCTGGAATCGGGAGGGAAGCTCTAACTATTTGAGCTACCCCTCACTCTCGATATCCATGAAATATGCTCGTTAACCTAACTTCTTTTATTTGAAATTTGATCGGTGGCAAAATCATCTATAATTATCATCAATTATGTTGGTTATTATCTAATGAACACAAAGTAACCAAATAGATTATCTCCCACAATTTGGTTACTCCTTTACAATATCTCAAAATCAAAATTTAAATAGATTCCATCCTATAAAACAATAGTTTGGTTATGAAGCAAGAAGTTTTTCTTACTCCCTCTTTTTTTAAAAAAGTGTTACAATTTGACTTTTTTTACTATTCACATAATGAGTTTGGCTGAATAAATTTACTAATATATAAAAAAACAAATGTTATTGTATAATACATTGTTAGATTCGTTACAACTTATACTTTCATTATATCAATCTTTATATAATTTTATTAACATATGATTATTAAAATTAATGGTAAAAGTCGTGTTTCGACATGCGTGTTTGGTCAACTATAGAGGAGTATGTGGATTATACATCTACACTAAATAAAAAATCTTCATCTTTTAGTATACAATAATATATGTATTACAATTTACAAACATATGTAAGACTCTTTTCCTTCCTTTTTAAGATAAGAAGAAATATCCTATTGAGAAATAACTTCTGAAAGGCCAAACTAGAACGCATCGCCAATATTGGAACAAGTTCCTAAGATTAATTGTACGACATTAGGATCTAGGGCAATAAACATTGCCTAGCTATTTGCCTATATCTACAAATCTAAACTAGTCGAATCTTGCAAATAATTACTAATCGTAATAAATTTAATATTCATAAATTTTAAAAAAAAATTACGTAGAAGTAAAAGTTGACCAAAATTTAATGGGATTAGCGCCCTTTCACAGTGAAAATTCCCCACATCTGCAGCAGCAATAGCAGATGATTGCGGAACACGTGCATCCTCACACATTTTCCTTACCACTTAAAAATATCAAAATAAAAATAAAAACAATTGTAGCTATTATACCCAATCATATTTTCTGACACCCCCAATCAATGTTTTCTCTCTCACTCTATTTTCTCTCTCTAAAATTCCTTCCTTCATCCTCCACAACTTCCATTTTTTTTGATGGATTTTATTTTTCATTAATTTGTAAAAATTCATAGTTTTATTTTTTAGTTCTCCCCAAAAAATAAGGAAAAAATGGCAGCATACTATCACAATAATCATGGGACAAGTACAGAAATCCAAGACCATAATACTAACAATTTTCACACACTAATTCTCATGAACCCAAATTTAGCTGATCCTCAACACCACCACCAACAACCACCACCATCATCTCACAACATCCTTCTACTAAACTCGGTCGCGGCCGGTCTTTCGCCTCCACAGCCACTTCTTCCTCAACACCACTTTGTTCGTCTCCCTACATCGCCGCCTCAACCTAATAATGTTACCTTGTACGGATACCCATCTCATGAGGCGCGTGACATCCCACGCGCTAGGCAGGGGCTGTCCTTGAGCTTATCATCCCAGAACCCCGCGCTAGGTGGAGGATCCCAGCAAGCTGGAGAGGATGACGTGGCAGGTGGGCAGGGTTTCGTGTTAGGGTCTAAGTACTTGAAGGCAGCTCAGGAGCTGCTTGAGGAGATTGTACATGTTGGTGATGAGGGCGGAGCTGTGTTCAAAACAAGCAGTACCAATACTGATGGTTCACCTAAGAAGGGTAATAAAGGTACGACAGGCGAGTTTTCGTCCGAGGATAAGGAAAAACACAGCCCCAGTGGTGGTGGTGGACAGCTGAACACGGCCGAGAGGCAGGAGATTCAGATGAAGAAGGCAAAACTTGTAACCATGCTTGATGAGGTATTTTTAGTACTGAAAATAAATTGTACTCCTGCTACTGTCTGAATGTCTTAGGGATCTTATAAATTATTGGAATTAAGGGTCTTTTTCAAGTGACTTTGATTCATCTGCCTTTTAACAGCAATTTGTGTCAGAACTTTCTGTTAGGAGTTACTATCAGTCATACCCCCTTAATTTTTTTTTCTTTTTATTTTACAAAAATCTGGATTACTTAAGCTTTACCTGTCAAAATTTTCAGGAAAAAAATCTGACTTGCTTTAAACATTTTTTTTTCGTTTTTTAGCTTCTTTGCAACTAAAATACTGAGGTCGATTAGATTGGATTAAATTGGACCTATCTTATGCTGATAGTAGCATATTATTAGATTATGCTATCTGAAATTATTGATGATGTGTATATTATTGTTGTGAATTTTAAGGCGGAGCAAAGGTACAGGCAATACAATCACCAAATGCAAATAGTAATGGAATCGTTTGAGCAAGCAGCAGGAATGGGATCAGCAAAGACATACACGGCGTTAGCATTGAAGACAATTTCAAGGCAATTCCGGTGTCTAAAAGATGTTATTCAAGGGCAAATCCGAGCAGCCAACAAGATTTTAGGTGATGATCAAGAGGGTGGTTCAGGTTCATCAGCTGGTGGGAAGATTGAAGGGTCGAGGTTGAAATACATTGATCATCAGATTAGGCAGCAACGCGCACTGCAGCAGCTAGGAATGATCCAAAACCCCAATGCTTGGAGGCCTCAAAGAGGGTTACCTGAGAGATCAGTTTCTGTTCTTCGCGCTTGGCTGTTTGAGCACTTCCTTCACCCGTAAGCATCTTACACGCCTAAATTTTTAGTGATTTTTTTTTTTTACATTGATATTGATAGAGTAGTTCCTCAACCATCAGCTTAAGCTTTTGGTTGAATTGTTCCTCGAAATTGATATGATGAAGTCACTAAAATGTTTGGATATGTTGAACTCGTGTTTTCAGGTACCCGAAAGATTCTGATAAAATAATGCTTGCTAAACAAACCGGGCTGACTCGAAGTCAGGTAGGTTCAAGGGAGGGAATTAAATGTTTGAATTAGCTAAGACATTTATTAATTTTTGATAAACAGAAAAGGCATTATATTGATTGGTTTTATTATGGTAAATTTCAGGTGTCAAATTGGTTCATAAATGCTCGTGTACGTCTATGGAAGCCAATGATTGAAGAAATGTACACAGAAGAGCTAAAAGATCAAGAACATGATAATGAATTATCAGAGAAATTAGCAAGCAGCAGCAAGGATAACAGCAACAATGAGGATAACAATAATGTAGGAGCTTTAAATTCCATCAAAAACCAAGAGATAAAAATCAACATTGCTGAAAATCAACAACTTAAAGATCAAAACAATGCTGCTGCTGCTACATCCTCGTTTATTGGCATTCCCACGAATTCCGACACACCCTTTAAAGGTAACAATATCCTGACTCAACATCAACATGGATTCACTCTAACAAGCTCATTAGAGATGGATGGTGGGGTTTCGCAAAGAAGTCCCAAGAGACCAAGAAACGATAAGGTCCTTCGATACGATGAGAACACTACTAATGGCGAGATCATGATAAAATTTGGGAATCAGAAGCAAGAAAGACAGGATGGGAATGGGTATCCAATCATATCAGGGGGAATGAACTTCATTGGAGGCGGAGGCGAGGAGAAGCAAGGAAGAGAGAATGTGAATGTGAATGTGAATGAGAATGGGTATCCCATCATATCAGGAGGAATGAACTTCATTGGAGGCGGAGGCGAGGAGAAGCAAGGAAGAGAGAATGTGGATGTGAATGTGAATGAGAATGGGTATCCCATCATATCAGGAGGAATGAACTTCATAGGAATGGGAGGAGGTGAATTAGGAACATACCAAATTGGAGAAATAGGGAGGTTTGAAACAGAGGATTTCTCTCAACCACCAAGATTTCTTCAAGGAAATGGGATTTCCCTTTCCTTAGGATTACCTCCTTCCTGTGAAAATCATCCTCAACAACTCGAAAATCTGTCTGCGACAAATCATACATTTCTGTCACCTAATCAGAACATCCAGTTTCGTCGAGCTAATGATTTTGGTACAATTAACAGCCCTTCCTCACACTCATCAGCAGCTGCATTCGAGTGTATCGATATCCAAAATCGAAAGGGGTTTGCAGCTCAGTTGCTACCAGACTTTGTGGCTTGAGAAGGGGCAGAACAAGAACTTATTAGGTAGTATGTAGTAGTAAATATAGGATTACTATACCTTCTTTTGCATAGAATTAGTGACATATATTGTTCAAATAGTTGAAGATTGGGGATAGTATAAAGTTATTGGGAATGTATATTAAATTTTGTAGCATATTGTTGTTATATAAAGATAGTAAATAGATTGGAATGTCATTAGAATACATAAGGTTTTAGCTTTTATATGGTAATTGCATGATTTGGGGTTTATTTTTCTAAAATAAAAAGCTTTTTTTCTTGAAGAGTAAAGTTATATTCTGTTCAAATTAGCTTGTAATAGTATATTAATATCATGTATCAGTATCTTTCTGAGTCGATTGTTTATGAATTTAGATTCCTGTGAAAATGACTGGAAGAACTCATCACCTGGGTCATCTTCTTGTTAACAAATTTTTTTTGGCTTATTATTTCTACATCAATATTGATCTTTTTGCCCCCCTAAAATAAAGGTTTTGTTAGAAATCTATGTTCTCTGATTATGAACTCACCATACTACTTGTGTTTATTGACCTTTTACTGTACAATTACCAGTTACCACTACTTTCAATCTCTCACTACTTTAAAAATTGGAATGATTTTACATGTCAAAACACTTTAAAGGCTCTTTCCAAAAAAAAAAAAAACAAAAAAAAAAAAAATCTTTGAATGGCTAGCCACACCGTGTGGCCAGCCACATTAAAGACTTTGTGATTTTTCAAATGTTAACATTGACATTTATTTACTTATCTATAATTAGATATACTAATGGTTGAATATATGTGTTGGTAAACATGATATTTTACAGAAACTTATTAACTTAAACAAAACAAAATAAAAAAATGTTTCATTTTAACGGATTTGAGAAAAAACAAATTAACGAATGCAAAATAAATATATAACACATTTCATAAAGTAATAAAAAATATTATTTAATATGGAGTATAGCTTAAAGATAAGAGAGATGGATGGTTTTAATAGCAATTGAAGAAGCCAAGTGGGATTGTGAAGTATCTCAATATGATTCCATAGTACATCAAACTAAGTTACTAATTAATTAATATTATAAATTAAATGAAATTTAAAAAAAAAAATGGTATCCTTCTCTGACAAGCAATCTTATGTAGAATAATTAAAAACTTCCTAATCCTTTGACAAATGTGTACCATTTAGCTCAACAATTCATACTTTATAAGTTGATATTTTTGCTCTTTATAAATCAATCATGAAACATGCACAGTTTTTTATAGGTTGGCATTTAATATTGTCATCCTGTTTTTACATTACTATAATATTTGCTGACATCTGAATTAGTATTGTCTTATGCTCATTCAGATCAAACAGTACACCTCATCACATTTAATAATTTTTTTTTAATCCTGTTATCCATTGTAAGCAAATGACTTCAAAAGGGTCATTTTCATTTTGTAATCTAATATTTATCAAATGCAATCGTATTATGACTTTATAAGATTATAAAATTATAAGTACATAGCATGATACCATAGTTTGTAGGACAGTTCCCTAATTAAAACTTTATAGTACTATTACTCACTTGGTCTTTTAATTAATTGTGGCAATATTTTAACCTTCGACTTTATGTATAAATTATTGGCAAATTTGTCAGAAAATACCTTTTAAAAGCACCATTTTACGGAAAAAAAAACCCTTCTTAAAAGCTTTAAAAAAAACCACCACATTCATTATTTTTGCAAGAGGAAACCTATTTACTTAATTAACCTCTAATTTACTTAATTAATCTCTAATTTCCTCTCATTTCTTCTAACTAATCTCTAATCCAGCAAATTACTTACTGATTACATTTAATTTATATATATAAATAAACCACCACCCCAACCACCAACCAACCTCCCTTCCCCTCCCCCTTCCCCTTCCAGTGGCGGAGCCAGGATTTTCAACTTGGGGGGACAAAATGCTTAACTTACGAAAACCTTAACAAAAAATAAAAACAAAAAAAAAATCACACACAAATTGGTTAATACTTAATATTAAAATTTCAAAATAAAAATAAATACTTAGTCATACAATTCAAAATGATGAAAAAATTACATAAACATTACATTAAAATTACACGTTCATTCTTCGAGTTTCGTTCTTTTAAACAAGAATTGTCGAAGATCGGGTTGTTTAGTTGACTTGAATTTGTTTGAATTTGGTGAATCTTTTGACATTTCCTAATTAAATCGAAAATTATATATCAATTTCCACAAGACCACAATACACATCATTACATAATAACAAAACCTAAGATTCTAAATTTCTAATTCAACTACACATTTCAATAATTTAAAAAACAGGGGAAACAAAGTATAAAACTGAAATCTTCAACACCAATTCGCAGAATACTAACCATCTCTTAAAGCAAGAACCTTAATATTAACAGAATACTAACCATCCCTTAAATCCAAAAGAGGAAACAGAATACTAACTAAACTATCAAAATCGTATATAAACTATAAATCAAATCTTCAACACCAATTGTCCAATTCGCAGACGACAACAGGGGAAACAGTCGGTTAATCAATTCAATTAAACATTTCTTCAACACCAATAATTCAGAAATTAAACATTTCTATTTTAATTCAATAAGCTCAATACTTCAGAGTTCAAACTTCAAAAATCATTAATCAATTCAATACCCACAAATGACAAATCCACAATAAAAGTATAAAACAATTAAACAAGTAATGAAATTCAGATTTGCATAATACATACCTCCATTGATATTTGATTTGGGCAAATTACGAATTGCGAATTGATGTGAAGCTGACCTTGCTGCGAGCCTGTAAACTTCAGATTTGCGAAGACCGAGCTGTCGCCTGAAACCCCGAGCACCGGAGCACGGCGAACGGCGACCTTCCGACGGGCGACGACAGGGATTGGCGACCTTCGAAGAGAGAGAAGATGAAAATTGAAAAAGTTAGGGTTTGTTTTGCATTTGTTTTCTTCTTTCTGTCTTAGCAGCACCTTTTTCGTTCTTTTGTTTTTTTTTTAAAAATGGGGGGACAAGTGTCCCCACTCGTCCCCTTCTAGCTCCGCCCCTGTCCCCTTCCCCTTCCCCCTCCCTTGGCAGCAACCCCCACCCCCAATGAACCCGCTGCCCGGATACCCCCCACCTCCAGCGACCTACCTCCACCGAGGGCTGACCCTCCCTCCCTTATCCTCGTCGACGACCACCACCTCCCTTCAAAATTTTGGCTTTATATTACTCAATCATGCTCAAATCAAGTCCAAATCAAATGCAATTTGCTTATAAATCACCCTAGCATCACATATATACATAATCAAAGCCAAAACAAGTATCAATTGCAAGCATGAAGCATAAAATTAAAAACCCCCCAAATTGATTTTCTAGGGTTTATTTTTCAAAATAAAATGGTGGTGGTCGCCGGCGGGGATAAAAATGAAAAAAGAGGGTTGGACGGCAGTGGAGGTAGGTCGCCGGAGATGGGGGATTTGGGTGGAAGGTCCGGTGGGGGGAGGGGGTTGCTACCAAGGGAGGAGGAAAGGGAGGAGGAAGGGGAGAAGGTGGTTGGGGATGGTGGTTTGTTTTATGTATAAATTAAATATAATTATTTAGTAAGTTAGTGGGTTAGAGCTTAATTAGAAGAAATAGTAGGAAATTAGAGATTAATTAAGTAAATTAGAGGGTAATTAAGAAAATAGGTTTCCTCTCACAAAAAAATAAACGTGGTGGTTTTTTTTTTTAACCAAAAAGCTTTTAAAAGGTTTTTTTTCACAAAATGGTGCTTTTAAAAGGTTTTTTCTGACAAATTTACCTAAATTACAATTTGATTGTATATATTTTCTTAGAATTAATATTATAAGGTAAAAATACAATGTATATTATTGAGTTGTCATAATTTAAATACATTATCAATGAACTTTATTCATTTCATAATACAGTGTTCATTTCAAGTTTTTTTTCGGAGTTATGAATAGTAAAGGAAGTGTGTAAAATGACATTTAATTGTATAGAAATCTGGTCAAATGTACAGATAAACCAAACATATACTCCCTCCATTTTTAAATACTTTCTCCACTTTTCTTTTTCGACCGTTTTTAAATACTTGCTCTATTTCCTTATTTGGAAAGTTTTTACAATATTTAATTCATTTCTACCACCTAGTGGACCCAACAAATATCATATTTTATTCATTTTATATTCTCGCTCTCACCTCCAATTTTACCACTACTTTTGCTTTTTACAATTTTTTATTCTTCCACCAACTCCACTACCTCCATATTTTATTAATTTCTTCAATTTCTCCTAAAACTCCGTGCATAGAGAAATTGAGCAAGTATTTAAAAACGAAGGGAGTAATTAATGAAGTTTTGAATATAGGGGCATTTGATTTGTTAAAGGTTAAAAAATGTAAGTAATGACACAAAAATAGGGAAAATTTGTATTTTATTCATAAAAGTGGTTGCCTAAATAGTAAAATTATGTGAATAGGAGTACTAAAGAGAAGCACATCATCCAAAGTGAAGTAAACATAGACACTTTATTATGAGACGAAAGGAGTATGATTAACAACAAAAGATTAAATATACTAATGAGAATTGTCTATAGACATATGAATAATCTTTCAAAAAAATAAATAAATAAATAAAATATTTACGGGGTATATTTTTAAGGTTAATAGTTGACATGCTTGTACTTATCTTGTGAAAAGAAGATGATTGTAATTGTAGGTAGCAATTGCTACAATTGGTTAAGAATGCAACAAAGTTTTGAGAGTGATGGGTTTTGTTCCACGTTCAAAAAATAAGGAATCTTTGTTTACTTTACTTATTTGTATCCATTTTTTCTTCTTCAACTAAATCAATTACCCTCTTATACGCACCGACAATATCATACTCTATAAATAGGATTATAGTGTGTGATTTTTAGTTTTTGCAAGATTATTTGCTTTTGCACTTTTTATTTGGAAGATAAGAATAATTGAGTCTTAATAATTTACAAACTAACCCTTCCTTGTTGTTAGTTGCGTTTAATAATTTTAAATAGAGAAGGTATTGTGTCAGTCCGGATTGACAAAATGCAAATTTTTTATATCCTCAATTGACGGGATGATATCCTCTATTGGCTGGATGGTATCCTCTATTGACAGGATGCCATCATCTACTAACTGGATGATATCATTTATTGGCTATATGATATCCTTTATTGGATAGATGATAATTCCACTGGCTAGATGATATCCTACTATTAGCTGGATGATATCCTCTACTAACTGGATAATATCATTTATTGTCTATATGATATCCTTTTATTGGCTGAATGATAAATCTACTAGCTGGATGATATCCTTAA